TCTGCTATTGTACACATTAGATGAGTCATGGAAATATAGTAAGTAGAAGGGGATAGGGAGAATACAAGGTTGTATGGAAACAACAACCTACCCTTATTATACGTATAAACACACTCACATGCGGAGAAGAGTAATACAAACGGTCTAAGTCATCGCCTTGGCGACGTCGATCAAACGAAGCCTTACTTACTGAGTACGTATTACCTTCGGAAAGAGGTCAAGTGCCACTATTTGAAACTTTTATACACCATCGTGACGCCAAAAGTTCATATTATATAGAAATAATGTTATTCGAATGACATATCTAATTTTTTTATGCTTGATTATAGTAATATACGTTTACTTATTACGCATTTCAATAATTCTACTTCATTTTTATTTTTAAATACTATCATTAATTATTACGATGTAGTATTATATGTTTTATTAAATATTGTAATTTACCAATATTTTTAAGCACTGGTTGAAAAAAATTATTAAGAAAGCGTTTAGCAATGTACTATAAAAATTCTTCAAAGATCAATGATTTCCCAATATATGTATAATATTTTTAATTTCAGTTTGTAATTATACAAAACTTAGAGTAATTAATAAAAATTAAATCTAAATAGCTCGTTCAATAAGAAAAGTTTCATAATTATAATAATTATTTAAAGCAAATTTTTCTTGAAAATTTTTAATTTGTTCACTTCTTAATTATGATCGACATTAATAAAAAATATAGAGTTTGTATAAACTAGTGAAAGAAATAAGGAGCATAGTCTGCTTTCTATTTTTAGACATATTAGAAGAAGTGAAAAATAAAAATGGCTATTTATACTAGATTAAAAGTCGATATTTTTAAGTAAAATTACACCATATTTATAGAGTTTAATTTAAATTCCTTGTTTGATAATACCACGCACTGTCCACGGAATTGTCAAAATCGTTTATTTCATTTTATAAATTAAAAATAATATGGTTAAGCAAATCGTGTCTTCAAAATTATTTTTATATTAATTTTACGTTATTTTGGTATTCATATATTTGAATACCTCATCGAAAATGTTTAAAAAAAATATAAAATATATGGAAAAAAAATGTTAAGAGAAAACGTTCCTCCTTTAACGTTTTGAACGAAATAACTCTATGCGTGCGGATGGGTATGTGTAACTCAACTGTATAATCTAAAAAAACTATACATATATGTATAGTTTTTGAGATATGCTGATGAACGAAATTATCCATCTCACCCTTATTTAAAAAAAATTCTGTGGCTGATGGTGGAGAGGGTTATAATACTACAACTCTCTATAAAATTATCCTTGAGGATAATTGTTGGTTTTAAATTACTTCTCTACATATAGTGTTAACATTACATCATAATTGTAAAAACATTATCAAGACAATATAAAAAATGTATACCATTTAAAGGTATACTTGAACAGAATACCTTAACACATAAAGTTAACACATATGGTTATAAAAAACAAGATAAATTTCACACAAAAAAAGAAGAAAAAACAATTAGAAAAATTTTGCTGACTTGAAGATAAAATCCAGAAAAATGAGAAACATATTTTTCTATTTTGGGGACTGAGGAGAATTTTCAATATTAAACGTATTTATATTAGCTAAATACGTTTTGTGATATTTTGACGTATCAATTGAGCAAAATCAATTCATTTGGAAACTAAAAATAATTTGTTTATTGATTTATGATTTATATAACATGTTACCACAAATTTGGAATATTATAAACTGGTAGTAACACATACAAATAAAATTAATAAATTACAAAATATAATTATTTGATTTTTTAGTTAAAATCTATTGTCATATCAAACCTAATTCGACCATGAAAAAACATTAGAAATAAATTATTTTAATTGTCTATATGGAAAATATAGGCTAAGTAACTTTTTAATCGATAAAGTGGACATTTTTTCAATTTTTGACGGTAATATCTTGAACTAGATAATACTTTAAATTAGTCAAGTGAGAGCTAAGAAAATCAATGAGAGTTATAAAAAAAATCACATAGTAAAAAAAATTTAATATGAATAAGAAATTTCTTCAAACGAGTGGAAACTACTATAGTGATGAGGTCCTTGATATTCATTAAAGTTATTGAATTTAAATGAGATAAAAATCAAATGAGTTAAAAATTTTTTCTAACTCAATAACTTTTATAAGATATTTTAAAATAAAATAAAATACAAAATCGAGATTTTTAACTCAAAAATACCATATTTTTGAATATGATAGCCATTTTCGGTGTGAAGACAAAAAAAGTTTAACATTTTTTTTCATAGAAAAGTACAATACATAAGTTTTAATTTAAGATATATATATATATATAAGTGTTAGTATTACCGAGAATAAAAGTTATAAAAAGTTAAGTTGAACATTTTTTTTGTCAAAAAGTTGCCAATTTGAATTCCCCCTTTGAGCAGGTGAATACTTATACTATAAATAATACTTAATATTAATTCCTTATCAATTCCTAATTATAAGTTTTATAATATAAACGTATAATACATGAATTTAATATTATTATTAAATATTAATATTATTTTTTTATATTTAATAAATTTAAATTTATTTATTAAATATTTTATAAATTTGTATAACTATGACAGTCATTCTCACATAGATGATAAGACGTCTAGATGAATTTTATAGTAAGTAACATAAGCATTAATTTAACATATATTTAAAAGTCGCAATTTTTCAGGAACATTTTTAAAAGTTAAGTTGAAAAAGTTCTACTTTACATACGTATATTTCAAGTTTTGAATGCTTATGTATAAGAAGATATTGTACGATTTAAAAAAAAAAAGAGTATGCTGGATAAAAGGAATATATATGGAGTATTTAGAAATAAATTGTTTTTTTTTATTCATTCAATTTTCTAAATTATAGCAGTTTTAAGAAAAAAAGTTTTTAAAAAATGTCAACAATTTATCAATTTTAAAAATCATATTTTTTGGGGGAATATAACCATTTAAGGGAAACGAGGGAAACATTTTACGAGGGCAATGTCTTTAACTAGATACAATTTGTAATCTTTTGACGTATCATTGAATAAAATCAGTTCGGTAAGAGTTGAGAAAAAATGGTGACAGACATAAAATAAAACAAATCATAGGAAAATGAATACCTTCTTCGCATCAAAGCTAAAAAATGAAATTTTTTTTTTAATAATCATTTATAGCCCTTTTCTTACAAAAAAATGTAATAATTTGGTAACAATTTTAGGACAAGTAAATTTGTCCTAAATTAAATTACAAGTAGTTTACCACATAGAGAGGGAATANATTAAATTACAAGTAGTTTAGCACATAGAGAGGGAATGGTATACAGACGGAGCACACGTACATTACAAAAACTGCTCCCTCCCGTGCTACTTGCAACTAAGATAATTGTGACCAGAAACATTTTAATGGAGAAAAAAGTACATAATTTAAAACACTGGTAAACGAAAAGCAAAATATAAACAAGTAAATAAACTAATTAAAATAAATGTTATACTGATAATGAAAGTGATTTTACAATTCATCTTAAATAATTATAAAAAAACTATTTTTTATAGTAACTTAAATTGATTTATTTGAAAATATTTCCTCTTACACTTAATTAATTATTGCTTTGTTGGTTATAAGAAGAAATAGATTTGAAAATTTTATAAAAAAAAGTTACAACATTGTACATTTTAAAATTATTCTTTGTTAAAATTATTTAAATTTTTTATACAGTTTTTTTTTTCTAAAAAAATTTAAGTTTTAGTATATATAGAATAATTATAAAAAACGGTAATACAGCGGGATCACAGAATAGTATGGATATGAAACAAGTATAGATAATATCTGACAAAGATTAAAATCCCTATCATAAAAAACGCGCCGATGCAAATCTGTAGATAATATTTAATTTTAAAAAATTGACGAATTAAATCAAAAGCAAAATTGTCTTCTATTTCATTATTTATATCCTGATTACAATTTGTATGATATATAAGTGTAATTTATGAATATAAATTTAATACATTTAAATTTATTTATTAAAATATATTTGTCCAAATTCGACGGCCACTTGCACATAAAAGATAAGTCATTGGGACGATTTTTTTTAACTTAAAGTAGATAAAATATACTTTGAATTAACGTATATTTAAAAGGTGCAGTAGTTAAGTTGAAAAAATTGACTTTTAAGGAAAAGTTAGTTTGAATACCTCCCTATGGTAATGGTAAAAAGTTTACCAGACTACAGAATTTTCATAGTTATGGTAATTTTTAGAAAAAAAAGTGGAAAATATGTCGAAATTTACCGATTTTAAAAATCGTAATTTTTTGGGTGATTTCTACCATTTACGGGAAACGAATCAAAATTTTTCAATTTTTAAGGGCAACGTTTTCAACTAGATATGATTTGTGATCTTTAGATGTAACGTAGAAATAAATCGGTTCGGCGAGAGCTGAGAAAAAGTGACGTTAGAGATATAAAAAAGTTACTTTTGAAATTTAAATGGGAAGCTATTATAATTTTTACTATTATCTGGAGAATGAACTAAATAAATTTTAATTGGTCGATAACCAATATTGTATTATCACTTTTTAGTTATTTATAAATGAAGTACGTAACGTAGAAGCATTTTTATCTATACGTTATGGTAAAAATAAAGCGTCTCTAAACACACCCCGTTTCCGAGTAAAGCCACCAATACACTTGCCTGGAGCATTAATTTTATTTATTTTTTCTAAAAATAAAAAGTGTTCTTCAATATGTAGCACTAAAATTGGCCTAGTATCATTATGTAACATATTAATTTTAAAATGATCGATTCAAAGATTATAACATAGCTAAAATAAAATTTATCTTAAAAAAGAAGTCGAAAAGAATAGGCCAAACACTCTTTTGTGGTAAATGTAATTATTTTGTTATAACACATGTTTATTCTATACTAAGTGTAGCGTACATAATATATATATATATATATATATATTATATAATAGACTTACGCGAAGAAGCGCGTGGAAACGTGCCAACACGTGTGATTTTTGTGTTTGATCTTTTTCTTAAATATAAGTCACCTCCAATCCACTTAATCGATCTTAATAAAAAAACTTAACGTCTGTATAACGAAATATATTTACCACGTTCCTTGTTTATACAGTATTTACCGACCCGAAGTTGCAAAAAACAGATTATTTTATACGCGTTATACGAGGGATGGAGTAGTAGAAGTGTCAATTGTGGTAGAGCCAGTGACAGCAGTGTCGAATGTGCGAGTCAAATGCGTACAGTAGTCTCGTGGTGAACTGACAGAAACGATGGTACCAGTGACCGGCTAAAGCGCTCGGCGCGTGTGCGCGCGTTATACGCGTCATGTGAGTGTATGCGCGTGTCCGTATATATGTGTGTGTTTTGGCGGCCGTTCGCGCGAAATTGGTGCCATGGCGGCGCGACGAATGCTCGACGATACCGCGCGCTTTCGTAGCTACCTCAGGCGCCGGCAGCAAACGACGGTGGCGCGGTCGCACGGACCCACTACCATCACGGCCCTTCTCGCTTCCTATCGATTCGACTGTGGTACCTTTTCGGGTGGCTTTACGCGTTGCAGCGTTTACTCAGTCACCATCATAGTGGCTGGACACGCAATATCATACCTCGTGACTGCGCACACACTCTTCCATAGGTACCTGATCCCCATCTTATACCTGGACGCTTCCGTACCCACCCAAAGATATCTAAGATATAAAAATACCTATGCGTTTTCGAGGTCATTCTGCCATATTTCTATTAGTAGGTAAAGCGGTCACATGCAAATAAAAAATATGAACTATTGTTAATATTACTTTTGCATAACATATTTACGTGTAATATACGACCTTTGAATTTTTACTCGCATATGCTTAGTTAAATTACTATGGCCATGCTCTCAGTTAAACTTATTTAAATAAAATAGCTTCAATTTTAACATAAATAATACTACATTGTTTTATGTCATAAAAATTAATTTTTTTAAATAGTTAATATCAACAAAAATAGAATAATTATTTTTTTTAAATGACTGATATTTAATCAAAATGGAAGTAATGCAAAGAGTAATTTACGTTTTGAACAAGTATAATATGAAAATAATTCCTTTAGAAGCTATTAGTTATGCGATTACTTATTTTGTATTGTTATTGTATGAGTTTTAAGTAAACCCAATAACGTATGAGAACGCATGGTCATTAATCCTATGTACAATCAAAAGGTTAAACATTGTCGATCTTTACTTTTAGTGCTATTTAGTATTATGTATTAATACTATTTTACTGATTACTACTTGAGCTATAGAAAAGTATTACTAATTGTCTTTTAAAAATTAACAAGTATTAAATTTGTACTATGTTCAAAAATAGTCCATGTTTAAATGGATGCATATTTTATTATTATTTTTTTTTTTAAAGTTTTTCTAAAATAATTAATGAGAGACTACACTATCATAGTCGTAATGCATTATAATTCTAATTTGTATTATTAATTACATTCTTGATGAATATTGCAAAAAATGTTAAATTTTTTCATTCATGAAATATCAAAATGCATTTATGGTAAATATATTAAGCTTAATAATTAAAGTAAAAAATCAATTACTTAAATTAAAATGCCGAAAATTTAAAAAAAATGGTAGCAAAAGTTGATAGAACATGAAGTAATTAAATCATTTCAAAAACTCATCATTCTATAAGAGAAAGTTATTTTTTTAAATTATCTCAATTAATTGAATTAAAGCCAATGTATTAAAACTTTTAATACAGAGTAATCGATTAATCATAAACCACTCCAATTGCTTGCATAATACATACATTATGGAAACAAATGTTGATTTCCTTTAGTTATATATAATTCTTGATTTATCAGCTAATAATGACTAATAATAAAATCATCCCTTATAACTTATAGGAATGACTTTAAAAAACGAAATAATTATTTGAATTTTAAGATTCTAAAAATTTCATTGTTTTAATTTTTTAATAGCTATCAGTATTTTAAAATAACATATTTTACCCTGATTAATTAATTTATGTTTTATGTATACTAAATGTATATATATTTTCATGGTTACATAGTAAATTTCATTATTAGAATAAAACAACAATTAATTACAGTTCATAAAATATGACTAATCAATAAAACTTTGACAATTTTTTCAGATATATTAGTATTTCAGATTTAAATAAGGTTATTTCAAAATTGTATCTATTATTCTTGACACTTTATCCTGTGATATTATTTTATTAATCTTTAAAATCACCTTATTTTATAAAATTCATATAGTCAATGGAAAAAACATCGTGCTTCAACGCGTTTATACAGTAAATTGCATTTGATATCCTAACATACGTATATTTTCCCGTCCATTCTAGACGTTAAGTATAAACGGTTTTAAAAAAAATCCCTCATAGTGGGGATGCTGCATATTTGGGACAAATATAAAGAACAGTGATAAAAATCACCATCATAAAAATTGATATATTTTGTCCAAGCACTGTACTGTCTTATCTGATATTACTATTAATTTTTTAAACTATTTAAATTGTTTTTGAGTTTTAATCAATTGATTTTAATAAATTATACTATAGTCCATACATTATAAAATTTCAATTGAAAAAATCCAGCCAGTGAAATCCCAAATTAGCGAGGACACGTCATACTTAAGAAAAGTATAAATAATATGAGACAGTGATTAAAATCGAAAGCTAAAATATCGAAGTCTACAACTTAAAAAATCTTAAATAGCTTTTTTATTTTCCATCAAGTATAATAGACTATTATTTAAAAAAAAATTTTTATTTCAAATTTTTCACGACACAAATAATACACGAACCTATGTATTGTGATCACACATAAATGTACACATTAATGATAAAAATGTAATTAACTTATTCTTGACTTTAATCACTTAATTATTATGACCAGTGTCAAATTTTATATGTATTGCATGGTAAACACGTGTTCATGTAAAGTTTATATGAATATTTATTTCATAAAATTTCGGATATTCATGTCTCTAAATATCACTCATCTTATATACATATAATGTGGTTTATTAAATAATTATTTAATAAAAAGACCAGTGGTAGTATGATTTTTTTAATAAAAATTAGTATTAATGTTTTATAAATTACAAAATTTTTTACTTTGACGGCCTATATCTTATAGTAAAATAATCATTAGTACACAATTTTTTTAAATATCACAGTACGTTTTAAGAGTTTTAATTTGATATAGGTTTTAAGGATTCAGTTGTTTCTGTACATTTTAAAAAATTGTGTTGAAAAAACATTTACTATATGCGTAGATGGTCACTTTCATACCTTTCATATATATATGGGTTTTCTATTCAATTTTCACAAAAAGTATACTAAAAAAACGTATTATCTTTATATATTATATTGAAATTTCATTAGATTTAATTATATATATTTTTCAAGTAATAACAGTTTAAAATATAGAAAAAAATTTTTGAAAATGCCCTTTTTCGACTTATAAAAATTATGTTTTGAATATTTTGAATTCAAATAAGATAAATTTTGTAGAAACAAATTGAAGTCAGTAAAATTATTAACTTGCCTGAGTGTTCCAGAAAAGTTAATAATTTTTAATTATTTTAGAAATAAATTCAAATAAATAAATGAATAAATTTATTTTAAAGAATTCCTTCAAAAGCACAATTTTAAATTTAAGATAATTTTACAATATTATAAATAATAATACAGCAATACTTATTACTTAGGTATTTTAACAGTAATTAAAATATTTAAACGTCAATTTTAGTGTAGTCAAAGAATAAACAGAAATTAGTAACATAATTATGATTTATAGTACTTTTCTCTGCTAATAGATAAAATATTATTCAATCTGGTTTATAAGAATAATATAATAATATAATAATAATATACTTAACAGTTTATTCAGATGAAAAGGAATGTTTGATTTTATGGTTAAACAAAAGAATTTACGTTTCATATTATATACAAACAAACCCAAACACTTTAATACAAGTAAATATTTAAAATAACATTGTATTTAAGTAAAGTAAGCCTTACCTTAACTTTTTGATATAATCAAAGACATATGTTAGGAAAAAACTAGTTAATTTTTTAATCATCAAACGATAAAACAAAATTATTTGCATAAAACTATTCCAATCAAGAACAGTTAAGCATACTTCATTGTATAGTTCATGAACTCAACTGGTTAATAAAAATTTAAATCGACATGTCCGTCCCACCTAAAATAATACTAATTTGTTATGCTTCTTTAAATGTGAAATTTATTACACATCATACGAAGGTCAGTAAGATTCTTGACAATATACATTTAATATCACGCTACTCAGAGTATATTTTGAATTATATAATGTATTGAGACTCACTATAACTATAAATATATATATAAGGTTATTAGTATTTTTTTATCTTCGATGCGAAGCTGAGAAGGTGTTGGTTTTACTATGTGATTTTTTTTTTAGCTTCGATATATTTGACTTTTCTTTAATAAATCTAACCCTTTACCTGCCCACAGGGGGGGGTTTAAAATTACAACTTTTTCAACTTAACTTTTAAAAGTATTCCGGAAGGTTTGACACTTTTATATATATCTTAAATTTTAGATAATGTAATGTACTTTATTATGGAAAAAAAAATTTGACCTCTGGACTTGTCTTCGTGGTGAAAATGGCTACCGAATGCTATTTTCTGTGAAAAGTCTCGATATTATATTTTACATTTTTAACTTTATAATGCTATAACTTATTGAAAAGTGTATGGATCAACACAATTTTTTTATAAGAAATAATATTTTTTAATAATCCCTTTTTTATTCAGGATATAAATAAGGAAATAGCAGATAATGTAGCTCTTGGAATAATCCACCAATTTTAAAAATTAGACACTATTTAAAGATTTGCATGGAAGCGTTTTTTATGATAGTGATTTTAATCACTGTCAGATAACATTATTCTTGAACCAACTATGCCACGTCAACACTGTGCCGCGACCCCCTGTGCTGGGTTTTTTTTTGTGTCTGTTACCACTTTTTATCAGCTCTCACCGAACGGATTTCTTTCAACGATACGTCAAAAGATCACAAATCGTATCTAGTCGAAGACATTACCCTTAAAAATTGAAAAAAATTCCCTCGTTCTCCGTAAATGGGGGAAACCTCCAAAAAAATTACAATTTTAAAAATCGCTAATTTTCGAAATTTTTTCAATTTTTTTTTACTAAAAAATTTAGAAGCTTTAATTTGTTATAGATTTGAAATATATAATAGTATAGACATCGTATTTTGGAAACATTTTTAAAAATATAAAGAAAAAAATTTTTAATTTCAAATCATGAAAAAAATTCTGTATTTTGGTTATTATTAAATTATTAAAAAAAAAATTTATTGATAGAAATAT